CTACACGAAGAGATTAAATTTCCCAGGATTATTTATAACGCAAATAAAATTACGCTCCCCAACATTCCTCTTTCCTAAAATCAAGCTTTATGGTTATCGGGTAATTTGTTAACCACGCATTATTACTTCCAGGCAAACCCTTCATAAATAACTGCGACAAACAAAACGAAACAGACCTAGCTAAAGAGAGGCCCATCCAGAATTTGGGGAACGAATTATTAGATTATCGCAGAAGTGGTCCAAACGTGAATGGAGATAAATTACCCAAAGAAAATAACGATGAAGCCAATAAAGAATTAATAAAAGAAGATCAAAACAAAACAGAATCGATAACGACGGTTGGAAATGATACGACGGTTGAGAACGGAAATCATAATTTGACTACGACAGTTGCCGTTGAAAATAATACTGTCGATTTGGGGAATACCACAACAAAGGCTTGATTTGATTTTAAATCAAAATCAGGAAATAAAATAAAAATGAAAAAAGCGTATTGATTGACCATTTTAGATATTTTATAAACTTCTTTCCCACTGACCTTTATTTTAAAATACCTGCATTGAGTTTTTCATACAAGAGAAAAAGGACTGAATGGATTCGAAATCATGTTATACTTCATGTAATTCATTTAATTGTCTCTATAGAGACAAATTTCTTTTCGTAAAAGTATTATCGTCGTATTAGGTACGTCGTCTTTCCCTCATGTCTGACCTTTATCTGGAACAATAGTTGTCACCTCAGATGATATTATATTGGCATATCATAAAATATTACACACGGTAAAAGGTATTGGCTAGGAGGTATAACAAACGTCCTACTATCAAATAATATTAGACATGCGGTATCACCTGTAGTGGATGGATATTAATATTTTGTAAAAGATGTGAGATATTCTTATAACATCTTTTCTCTTCCTTCTATCACTGTTCTCGCGACTTTGTCTTTCTTGAAGTTCTTGCAAAAAGGGACTTCCAAATAGGATTATCAAACCCAAACATTTTTTGAGTCTTTACTCTAAATGAGGCTATAATTATCTAGATAATAAAACCTAATACCTAATTAAAATTGTTTGTTAAAACTCTCCTTTTCAAATCGTTAAGTAGCCATTACCACACGAGAAATAACTTGAAATTGAAAGAAATATAAGTAAACTAGCTTTCCGCCCGCGGCTTCGCCCACGTGGAATTTTGTCTGTCACAGAAAGACTTTATCGCGCGCATCCCTGTTTCAAAAACCGGGATAAAAACTATCCTTTATCCTTTCCCGGGACTCAAACTATCTCTATGCCAAATTTCATCAAAATCGGTTCTGTGGTTTAGGCGTGAAAGCGAGACAGACAGACAGAGTTACTATCGCATTCATAATATTTAGTTTAGAAGTATAGATTTAAAACCATTGTCTAAGCTCGCACGAAACTATATCCTTACTATTGTGTATAAGTTGCATGTGTCTCACACAAGCCTTAGTTCTCGCTGACCTTATTCCAGATAAAGGGTGCCGCACATTATCCTCGTGTCTAGTTACCTCTTAGTGGCTTTGTCTGCGAAAAATGTGGAGGTGTCGTAAAAACCAGACGTTCAAAGGGCGGATTGAACCTTTAAGAGGGTCCCCTATTGTCTTTTGATACATTGTTTTCGATTATTAGCGTGTTTACTGTAGCTGAAAGTGGATAAAGTTTTTAAATCGTATTCTAGATGTGTGTTTTTTTGCCACACTATATTAGTTTTACAGGTAGTCCACGGTGGCCAATGACTTAGAGCGTGGCCAAACAAATATTTCAACAACCCAGAACAGAATTTCCTGGCGCCTTAGAAAGAGGAGAGCCGACAACCAAATATGGGAAAGGGCTAAGGCAAAGAAGAAGAGAAAGTTAAAGTCTGAAAATTCGGTGTAGTGGTTAGACTGTCTCGGGTTCGATTCCCAGTGGGAGATTCACTTTTTATTTCGGCTTGGAGCGTGATTAACAGCATTGTTAGTTTGGGGTAAGATAGCCAGTTTTTCTGTGGTTGAGGATTCCGGGTGAAGCTCGCTCCCATCTTCAGCCTAATCATCACTTTCCATCAGGTGAGATGCAGGCCAAAAGCTTTTCTGTTGTAGTTAAAATCCCATATTTTTTAATACGAAGGGTGGCGAAACCGTTACGAATTTAAAACAAAAATAAATGTTAATTACTAATCCGTAATACCCAAGGAGCTCCTGAAGTGTTGCTTGCCTTCAACTCTTTTCTTCTGTACATTAAAGAATAAGTAAGCTATCAACTGACAGTCATGCTCATTACAGGGTTTTTCATCACTTCTTTTAAACTCCAGTATTGTTTCCATGCATTACCTATTCGCCTGTTGATTTCCTTAGATGTAAGATCCATTGGCGAGATTGTTTGACCGAGATAGATGTATTCGTCTACATAATCAATTATGTTGTTGTTCACGTTGATAGGTTCCTGGTTCCCGTGATGGGGAAAAGACTGTCCGATAGAGTAAGAACCACCACCATAAAGAATTGTACAAGAACAAAAGATGTAACAGTAACTATCAGAAAGTTGAAATGGAGATGGACAGGACACACAATTAGAAGAAAAGAGAAATGGTCTAAATCTAGAATGAACTGGTTCACAAGGCATTTTAAGCGAAAACGGGGAAGGCCACCAAGAAGATGGGTAGATGAAATAAAGGCCACAGCTGGAGGTGGATGGGCAACAGTTGCAGGAGATAGAGGAGAGTGGAAACAGTTGGAGGAGGCCTTTGCCAAAAAAGGCACACAGACAAGTGTCAATTAGAATAATATTAAACTCAATCAATTTTAAACTCTGTATGTCTGAATAAAGGCTTATATAAAAAAAAAAGCTATCAACTGAATGGGTAGCCTAAATAAACCAGACCATTCAGGCTAATTCCCTAATTGCCTAGGTAGGTTTGTTTCTAGGATGGTTGCTTATTAAGTCGATAATACAAGTAATAGTCGGAAACTCCTTATTTTGTGGGTAAAGGTAAACGTAACGGCCTCTAAATAATTGAAATGTATTTACTGAACCTTTGCGATGGTGCTTCTAGGAAAACATTTCAGCTTGTCTAACTCTTCACTCTCCACACCTAGATTCGTTAATTAGTGTAAACGACTACCAGAAACACATTTATATAGAACAAAAATAAATATAACAAACTATTTTACGTCATTACTAAATAGTAGATTTCCTAATGCAGTCTACCTACACTACACATCAAACCTGGGTCACGCCTGGGTGGTTGGAGACTCACCGACATTTTGTCGTCGGACTTTTGACAACATGTTAAAGAGAAAATTTAAGTCATTGATTATGATTCTTTTAAAATAAAGCCGCTGACATTAAGCCACTGGGCTGGAGATGGGCTTGGTGTTTAGAGTCCTCAACAGTACCCAATTTTCTATAATGATGTTTTGCATATCGATTGCACGACAAGGTCTTGTACATCTCATCTAAAAAAAGGTAGTAGAGGTGTAATTTTAGAACGAAAATGTATCAGGTATGTTTCTTCTCTTGTATTTTACAAGTATTTAAGCATATCTGCATTCATGCCATATATAACGTACTCGATAAAGCTTTGGTCCGGGGTAAATATGCTGGCCGGGGCTTCCTTTGCTTTGTAACCGGACAATACGGGCGCATAGCGCGCATTATCCATATTAAAACGATGGAATGCATTTCAGCTGTATCCAAGCAAATATTATGGAGACATTTGACGAAAATAGGATCTTTTTTTACCGAAGTTCACAAGAGTCATCTAAATATATTGACATAGTGATCTATCAACGTACAGCCCAAACCACTGGACGGATCGGGCTGACAATTTGGCATGCAGGTAGATGTTATGACGTAGGCATCCACTAAGAAAGGATTTTACGAAACTCCACCCCTAAGGGGGTAAAACGGGATTCACACGTACGAAGTCGCGGGCGGCCGCTAGTCATCTAATAAACAAGAATATGAATAAATACTGATCATCATCAGGCCATTTAATCTTCACTACAGGTAGGTACACGACCCTCTCTAATTTATCAGAGAAAAATAGAGAATTTTGCCTATATCTACTTTTTACAGGTGGGTTGAGGCGACTCTGTTATAAATTATAGTTATTAACTAACTAAAATCACCCCCGAGACCAATCTAAAAGCGGGTTTGCAGAAGTGAATGTCATTACGATGATAGCCCAATGGTGTCATTGTTGGACTTGGAGGTCTTTTCGCACGGACATTGCTGATTGCAATAAGCGGCGTATTCAGCTTCACCGGACAAAGGTGACTGCAGGATCTCAACCTCTAAGCAACGCCTAAGGGCGCTCCCGTGTGGAGCTCGGACCTCAACTTATCGTGAGTATAGACTAGCTAGAGCATTTATTTGTTACAGAGCAACGAGCCGCTCTTGAGCCGCTCTATGAAATGTCATAGTGTAGCATCTGTCACGAACCAAACGTCAGTCGTACATTTTACCTGTATTGGACCAAGAATGTTACTTATAAATGCTCTAGGCTAATCTCACCATATTTAGCTTGACTGGAGGGCTTAACGGGATTATCATCATCATCATCATCTCAGCCATAGGACGTCCGCAGCTGAACATAGGCCTCCCCCAATGCTTTCCATGTTGCCCGGTTGGTAGGGGTAGAGTAAATACAAATGAGTGGGTCATCTTCATAGAAACGCACCGAGCGCGGTTTGTACGTGAGCGCGCCAATACGTATGCGGCGCGCACGCACACCACACACTGACAAAATTCGGCGCAACCACGACTGGCTCCCCGCTAATCCACGCTAAATTTTGTCAGTGTGCGCGCCGCATACGTATTGGCGCGCTTACATACAAACCGCGCCCGGTGCGTTTCTATGAAGATGACCTATTCATTTGTATTTACTCTGGTAGCAGCGTGAGTCGGGAACGGGTCTATAATATTAATATTTGGTCTCTTTTTTAGGGTTCCGTAGTCCTGACAAGGAATCCTTATTAAAGCTAAATAATTATTGTTTCAGTGCGGCAGCGGCGGCGGTGGCGGCGGCCGAGGCGCTGGGCGGGGGCGGGCGGCGCGCGCCTCCGCCGCTGCTGCGCTCACGCACGCTGCCCGCCATCATTGCGCCCGGCTTCAGTATCTTACATGCGCAGATCGACCCGCAGCGGACTAATGGTGAGTCTACCCTACAAATTATGACTATCTAAAGTCTGGTCCGTGAGCACGTAGAATTTTGTGTTAATACTTCGATGAAGGAAGTAGGTACGCGAGCCTAGAAAGTTGCGGTTAATTCCTTACATTAAAACAAAAAGGAAGACGCGGTACCCGGTGAGCGAGACACAGCAAAGAGCTCCAAGTTTGGTGCAAGCAAGATGTAGTCAGCGAGTCGGAAAGTGACAGTTGACGCGTCGAAGCGAAATTGTGCGCATGCACCTAATTAAAGTGTCATATCTTTCCTTTTTGCTTTAGGCCCGGTTTTCACCAAGGCGGATCAGAGCAAAGCGGAGCGGAGAGGTGTTTTGAATAACTTCATTCCATTTCTCCGCTCGGCGTCGTAATCCTCTCTTCTTTTGGTGGTAAATGCTGTACCACCTGTGTGGGGGTGAAAATTATAAGTTCCCTTTAAAACTTTTGTAACTCCGAAATAATACTATGTATTCAGACCTACCACCTTCCTTTCATTAGATACCTAATCACATTTTAGTTTTATAGAGGTGGGGAAATTAAATTAACATTAAGCAAAGAAAGGCTGTTATTAAAGACGTGATGGGAAAATTAATGTAGAACAAGTCACAGTCTATTACCATCAGCCAACACACCTTTGGCACTTTGAAGTAAATTCCCTAGAGATCTGTGTTTTTTAATTATTTCGCTACGTCCAATAGTTGCGCACAAAAAAGTTCAAACCTAATGATATTATGCGATTTATGAAAGGAAATGAGTAAATTCTATTATTAAGGGAAAACTGACTCCATCATGGCTTTGGATAACTAGCCAGTGGATTAATGAAAAAAGCGGGAGAACATACTCTTTTAGTGTTCCTTTTGAGAGATGTGTACCTATTTAGTTAGGAAGTTAAATGAATGTCACAATAAACAATACATATAAGTATTTGATGATCCTTTGTGATTGAGGATTCAGGGTGAAGTTCGCTTCCACCATCAGCCTGATCATCACTTTCCATCAGGTGAGATGCGAAGAGCTTTCTCGTTGTGGATAAAAAAAGCTACTTATGTTCAAGCACAACTCTTTGACTTTGTATCTGTATAACCCGGTCAAGTTCTGCGTACTACCCGTTCGCGCTAAGTTTGCCGGTCCGTGGAATGCGCGTCCCCTCCCCCAACCGCGATTAAACGCAATTAGTTAGTGATTAAACGCAATTAATGTGTCTTATTTTACGCAAATACACAATTTTTATCAATAATAATAAATAAAAAATATTTTAAATATAGTTTGTTATAAGTTATAGACGCTTCTTTTCGAGTGACGTCATATCGCCAGTGGCAAACTTAAAGCAAACGGATAGTACCTCCACGGATAGAGCGTCGATGTGACGTCACGGCTGCTTGGTGCGCAGTTAACTCGACCGGGTTGTACATACTGTTCTCATCTGGCTGTGTCCAGTCCTTGGATGATCACGTAAAGGCCGTTCCTACGCAATAATGTAAGGCAGATGCTGCTAATAACCGGTTACATTTAGACAATAATGTTCCAACCTTACCCACAATGTCTTTGTTGCTTTCATTTGCTAGTAGAATGTACGCGGAGTTGAGTTACAACGGTTTCATTTGATACTAACTATCTCATGAAAATCGAAACAAGAGTTTATGAAGTAGAAAGATATACAGGGTGTCAGGGAAAGTCGATCTATTCCTTGAAAGGGGTTTCAGCAGATGTCATTAGCAACAAATTAAGTCCAGTGAACTAGGGGTCATAACTGGTGCTGGTGGATGGTTGGAGTAATTTTTCAAGAAATTTTACTGAATATCTACACATTATTTACATTAGATATCGTATCGTAAGTAGAGATAAAATATAAATACGAAAACCTTTCCAAAGCATGATACAGTAGGTATTACAGGGCATTACATAATTTACTTGGATCTGGTTGAGGTCGAACTCAGGATATAACTCGCCCCTAAGTTAGGTCTCGTAAAAATTGTTTATGCACTGAAGTACGATTAGGTAAGGTAAGCTAAGAAAAGTTACGGTAACAGCAAAGTGACATGTATGAAATGAATTTCTTCCCGCTTTATTGCGTATGTGCTTGCTTTATGTGCTCAATATACTAAGAACGTCGAACTTATTCGATAAGGTTAAACTGTTTCGTTCGTTCGTTTCAGCCAAATGACGTCCACTGCTGGACAAAGGCCTCCCCCAAGGTTTTCCACAATGAACGGTCCTGCGCTGCCCGCATCCAGGCTCTTCCCGCGACCTTTACCAGATCGTCGGTCCACCTAGTAGGAGGCCTGCCCACGCTACGTTTTCCAGCCCGTGGTCGCCTAAGGTTAAACTGTTTGCCTTCCCTAAATTGCCCCTAACTTTTGTTTAAAGTATACACGTAAACAACCTGACAATGTGCTAGGCAACAGCTGCTTGTAAACAACATTACGTGTGAATGACCCAATCAATTTGCGCAAATGTGACAGCTGTTTCCCGCCCAAACTTGCTCCACAGATAAAAAAGCATTTGCTTTTTTTCTTGCGAGCTTAGTGTAAGTTTATATATCCCATCAAAAACAATACTTGTCAAAAAAACCAAGTCTCGCAACTCAGTTGTTCTACGGTAAAAAGTTGTGAGATCCATGTAATACCAAGTCCAGGCCATGAGTGCATTGTGGAGCCATCATCTGGGGAAGTCTGAATTCTTTGAACATGTATGGTATAAGGGGAGGCATCAGTACTATTATATAGTTTTCTACCAAAATCTGGGGTTGAAGAAAGTTGTGAGTCGGTAATTGTTGAGGCAGAAGGCTGGGAGTTAGTATGCGTAATATTTTTAATTTTATTATGTTTTTTTGCTGCCGGACTTGGGGGGGATTCCGAAATGGTAGGTGTAGGGGGCAGATCGCAGGCACAATCATTTTCCTTTACTTCTTGTCCAATATGTTTCCTTTTACGTTTGTTACAATTTTTACATTTGTGAACTCTGCAGCGTTTTCTAGCTGTAGTTGCAGGAGAACCATCCGTGTCCATAGCTGACTCATTGGAAATAGCCACCATTGGGCCTAAAAGGGGAGCAAAAGTATTCGCATCTACAGGGATAGTCACAAAGTGGCCCGCCGGGGGAGCCTCCCCCGGGTCAGGCGGCTCGTTCATCTTGACGACTAAATAGTTTTAAAGACTTACCAATATACAGCAATTATACACTAACTACACAATATATATATAATCAAGTAAATATAAACACTAATTACACCTCTTCTGATCACTACAACAGATAAATTTTAATTTTAAAGCTAAGAGAAACAAAAACGCGCCCGACCAGTTTAACGTTTCCCGCGCTTTTTTTTCTAATGACGCTTTTTATTATTTTAATGTCGCTTTTTACACAAAAATGTGACAGCTGTTTCCCGCCTAAACTTGCTCCACAGATAAAAAAGCAAAGGCTACTTTTTTCGGAACTTTGATATTATGGCAAGGGCATAAAATGAAAATAGGCAAAGAAATACAGATGTGAATTTCCCGCCGAAATGTAAATTGAGAAGGAATTTAAAGATGGTTTAAAAATAGAAACGAGCAATTTGTAAGGTAATCACTGTTTCTTTTCGGGTGGCAAGTTAATGATTGCGGTGACCCTTAAATTGGTCCCTTTATCGACTTCGGATCTTTTTACAAGACAAGATAAATTGAATCTCAGTAAATGAAGGGTTGAATAAATACTTTTTTAACTTTCTTTACACCTTCTTTATTGAAATGAGCTTTTTTTTTTACCACAAAATCAAGTTCTTGTGAACATTTGCCTTAACTATTGCAAAAAAAATAAAACAAAATGCTTTATCTACGACGACAATTATAGATTTATGGTAGTGAGTGTTTATGTAAATGATTTCAAAGCTACTTGATTTATGCATACCGGTTAATTAACTCTAACTAAGATTGACTTTGAATTTGTTTGAGATAACTTTGACATCTGTATTTCGAAGTGCGTTTCAATTGATGTGAGGTGGTGGTTATTCTAATAAGCACTGCTCTTATAAAATAAGTAGTTAGATTTGGTTATACCTACCTAACAACAAATTGGACCGTTTTGTTTTAAACATGTAACCGATTTTGTAAATTAAAGAAAACTTGGGTAAGGTATATTTAAATCATATCACTAGATTAGTTTAGAACGTATAGAGGTCGGCAATCTTTTGAGATGGAAGAGCTATAGAGCTTTTTAAAAATAACCTGTAAAGTAACTAAAATAATAATAAACTTAGAGTCAGTGAAGTTAGAATAAGGAACCATTGTGGAACTAGAAATACAAAGTGTCATTGTGTTATTGATTGTGCGTTTCCTTGGTCAATATCCCTGTAGGCATCCTGGATAGGTACACATCCCTCATCGCAGAAGGCGAACTGGGACTTAGTACTAAACAGCGGGGTGTCAGACTGAGCTAGCTAAGACGCTCCGTTGCACAGTTATGAGTTTTTATTTTATTTTGAAGGGTTAAGAAACTTCACATCTTAGAGCCAAAGGTTACCCACCCCTATTTTAGTAAGATAGAACAAGAATCGTGCATTAATTATCATTATCATACAAATAAAGTATAAATATTTGTTACAGTTTTACACTGAGTTAAATATAGCGATTAGGTACATCTTTGCCCACGTCAATAAAGCATTGCCTCATAAAATGTCTCCAAGCAATATTTACTAATTACTGACAGGTCACACTCGCTTTACGAACAATTTTACAACTTCACTACGGTTTATTTTCGCAATTATTGCGTTTCGAGCATAAAACTGAAAATAACTTAAAGCACAATGGGGAATTTTAATACGTCATAAAGAGCTGTTTATACCCAAGACTTCTATTGGCAGAATGTGTTTGAAGACACGGTCTGTAGCAAGTTACTGACATGTTTTCTCATGAATTATAAATTATTTCAGCGACATAACTACAATTTTACGAGTGCGAGGCGTTAGAATGTAACGCAATAAAGTAATAGCATAGAATACACATATAAGTAGCAAGTAATATTGCGTAAAACATTTGTTATTGTGATCTATTTTTTCCTTCTATCGGGGCAG